CGTCCCAGACTGTGTAAACAGATCAGCTGCTATCACAGAAGCCTGCAGTGGGAAGAAAAACATATTTTGCTTACAAAAGACTTTGAAATAAACCAAAAAAGGATATAAAAATGCAAAACACAGCATTTGAATGTCTTAAAAATATGATAAATCTTAACAGCTGTAATAGTATTGCTGAAAGTAAAGCATAAATACTGATTAAGAGGTTTCTGAATATGTGCATTTTATTTAAAAAACTGAGCATCTAGGTGAACTCACCAGTGTGTGAAACGCGTCTGTATTTGCCCAGCAGGCAGAGGTCGGTCTTCTTCTGGACCACATTGCGCTGGTCCTCCGGCCTCAGACCGGTGGGATGGCGAGAGAAAATGAAGGAGTACGCGTCCAGGCAGGTGCCGTCAGAATCCACCAGTCTGCATGAGTAGTGGATGGCGTAGTTGTCGTAGTCGGTGTCAATGACCCAGTGGTCATCGTCTGAGTGAGGAGAAAGGAGAAAGGGTTGAGATTTTTGACATCATCATACTTTTACAATTTGTCAAACATTTATCCAACTTGCATGGTAGGCCAAAATAAATTTAGCGATTATCAATTTTTAATAGAGACACAAAAATGGCAGAACATGCTGTTTTCATTCTCTGCAGTATGGAGATTTCTCTGCTTTATATTGTGTTAAACTGGAAATAATGTAAAGATACCAGTTTGGACTTTGCAAAACCAGCTTCGACATTTTTCACTATTTTCTGACTTTAATAGACAAATTGATTAATCTAAAAAATAATCAGCAGATTTGAACACGAACAGAAGTACACAAACATCTCTAGCTAACTCACACATTGCACAATCGTCATTGTTGTGTGTATGAAACTTCAGACTTTGTGCTTTTTGATTATCTCTCTTTCACATTGATCTTTTTCTCTTTCAAGTTAAATCAAGGCAAGGCAAGGCAAGTTTATATATATAGCACTTTTCAACACAAGGCAATTCAAAGTGCTTTACAAAAAATGAAAGAGATTAAGAAAATGGCATTTAAAATCAGTCATTAAAAAGAAATCAAGCACTCTGTCATTTTATACAAACACAGTGCTGGGAGATAAACGTCCCATGACAGCATTATCAAGTCAACAGATGATGCAATTATATAGATACAGTAAAGATGATATAGGGAATACTATAGTTGATACAGAAACTCTAAGTTTACTTAGTAACACTTTGAGTCAGCACTGGGGTCATTTTGAGATATAAAAGATTGCATGCCATTCATTTGCCTTCATGGAATGTTACACCTAACGACATTTGGACCTCTTTCCAGTAAGTGCTTGTTTTGATTGATTCTCAAGGGTCACAGAATATCTAGTTTTGCAGTTGATGATTCCATTAAATCATCAGTTTTCTAAACCAGTGACTCTAACTGGCAACAAAAAAAAGGCTCTGCTAATAAGGTGCCTTGAACTTCCCCCAACTTACTTCCAGTCTGCAGGTATGAGGCGGCTCCCCAGTACTTCATCCTGAACTTAGCGGGGTCAGGGGTTACCTCAAAGGTGGCCAACATGTCAGCACACATTTCCCAGTTGCTAGATGTCAAAAAGAGAGGAATATTTTACGAAATATGTGAGACAAAATGGAGCTTGTTAAGCCTTTATAGCAAAGAACAGAACTCACTTCAGGATGATCACTCTGCCCTTAGCAGTGGCGGTCATTGAGCCATCCTCTGCGATAGTAAATTCGGCCACGATGTTGTCAATTAAGAACAAACCCTCTGGGTCCTTCTTTGCAACCGCGTACCATATCCCTGTATACTAAGAATAAGAAATCCAAGTGTTAGTCAGCTTCACTCTATGTTTTTCATTAAAGTAGAAGAGGCAAATGACCATATACAGTGTCATTAGTATTACACTGTCCTCACACACAATAACATTCCTGTGCATGTCTAATGAAAAAAAGCTTTGAACAATACGACAACGTAAATGATCATTAAACATTTTAGACTTTTAACTCACCCTTGTCTTGTCGAAGTTCTGCATGACCTGGACGCTGGAGACCTGGCAGTCCTGTGCCCAGGACACAGCCAGGAGGCAGAGGGCCACAGCGTAGTGCAGCATTCTGTCTCAGAAGAAGGAAAAAAGGCAGAAACCAAGGAAGAAGGAAATAAGTCGGGGGGGAGAGTTTGAGAGAAAAGGCATAGCAGGGAGCAGAGACAGAGGAGACAGAAGAGTGAGCCACATTGCCAAGTCCTCCAGTAAAGTAGAGGGTAATACATTCCATTGTCTGTGCTACAAACTATTTGTACATTTTTAAACAAAAAAAACCCTTCAAAAAGATATCAAAGTTGTTTTAAAAAAGTGAGAACAATTTGTTTCGCAAAAGCTTCAACCATTGTCTTTCAATTTCCGGTTAAAATGTTCAAACATAAAAAAGAAGTCCATTGTTAGTGCCTACCTGTTAATCGAAGTGGAGAGCTGACAGAAATCTTCAGGTTTTCTGTCAAGGCGTTATATATAGTTGGTTAGTGTTGCATAATGACTTCCCCCGCACTCCCCACAGCTAGCTTGCCTTCCATTGGATAAACATTTACATAACTTCAGGCCCAGTCCTATTGATTTGTGTGTTCTGCACATTTGCCCCCCCACCCCCTCTGTACCACACCCCAAAACATTTTCATGAGGTTTTTTTCTTGGTCTTATGAAAGCAGCTGCTAGCAAATCCAAGAGAATAATCTGGAAAAAGACATACAATGCTGTAGAGACACACACTTTTATTCACTCTGATGAATACAAACACATCTGCATTCAATTGTAACTGGTTGCATGCATGGGCTTAACCTACCTTTCTGCGAAAACAACTGGATTGCACTTAATGCATGTTTTTTCTCCAGTTTTTTTTCCACCAGCGCATTTTTCCCGGCAGCATCCTTATGATTACATCAGCTCTTTACTTGATTATGCTATCAAAGGGATATTTAATGACTCCCACCACTGTGTTTGTATAAATGGTAGGCTCAAATCCATTTTAAAGAGTAAATAATAAATGCAAAGAAGAGACAAGTCTGGAGCTTCAAACACCAGTCGATGATGAAGGGATAATGTGTGAGTTAGATCAAAATGTATGTGCACAGACACTTTTGTGTACTTGTCCAAGAGAGCTCAGTGTGCTGAAGCGAATGGCTCCCATAATGAAGTAATCTTTATTTCCCTTTTTTTCTTAAAACATTGTCTTCCCAAAACAAAGTCCATTTTTTGACAGCTTTCTAACTTGTTGTATTAAACTCAGTACATCATTCACACTCCAAGCAAGTTAAGAGAAGTATGGTAAAACTACACGGCTGTATTTCCTTTTATACACTGATGCTGTTGTTTTGCACTGAGCTCAAGTCCTCTGAGGGCTTGCTTGAACAAAAAAGAGCACAGCCCAGCCAAACATCTGCAGATTGCATAACCAAAGCCCCAGCCAGTGGAAAACAGCACAATAACTCATTTTCAGCAAAAAATAATACCAGCTGGAATTTGGCCAAAGGCAACATGTAATAAACATCAAGATTGGGCCAGAAACACTTTACGTTACAAAGCCAGACCTGTGCAAGCATTTCACATCTTGGTAGAGTGGTAAATGTCGTAGGATGAAGTATCCAGATCTTTTACTTAAATAAAAAAAAGCCTAACGACTGTGTAGCAATACAAGTAACAAGCACTGGATGAATAAAAAGTACTTCAGTTAAAGTTGTAAATGAAGAATGGCCCATTTTAGAACATAATTATATCACTTTATTATAATTACGGATGTTTTAATATGTAAGCATCACTAATAATGATGATGTCAGTACTGGTTAAGGACTACTGTATGTTATTTACTGCTGGGTAGCTTATTCAATAATAAAATCATGATTTATTTGTTTATTTATATTTTGTATTATTAATCTCAACATTAAAAGGTAGTAAAACGTAATCTTGTAAGACAATTTTAGTAGATTTAATAAATAAAGCAACCAAAAAATGTAAAAAAAAACTTTAAAGCACAAATAACTTTGATGCAATGTCATGCTTAAAGCAGGAGTCTGATTTGTTTTTGTATAGGTTGTGAAACTTAAGCAATGCTAAATCCCAGATGTACCCCTATAACATGTGGGACTGTGCAAACAACCTATTGCTCAATGAACTGCTTTTAAAGAGAGCTGTAGCTAAACAGGGAAGGGGTGTTTTTAGCTGAATTTGGAGTTTCTTGTCTGCAAACCTAATATGATTTACTATATAAACTGGAATTACTTAATTAAACAGTGTGGCGCCTGCAGCAATTATGTTTGCATCACTTTTTTGTTTTAGTTATGACTAAGGCTGTTTCTCTTACAAAGTAAAACTTGAGTTTCTTTAATACAGCCTTACAGTATGTTGGTATGACCAGTAGCCCATGGTAGCTAATGTAAGATCATCAAAAATGGTTGTGTGATTGAAATTGCTGAGTCAGTTTGGTCCTGTTTCACTTGCTGTAAAACGTCTTAACTGAATCTTGGAACATTTACAGAAATGTAATATGCTGTCATTGTGTCGCAAGTGTTCTTTAAAAGTTACTAAATAGTCTAAATTAAGTAGTCACCTAGAAATACTAACAAAAAAAGACAACTGATACTATTAAGTTGGAAAACAAAATAGTGGAATTGGCGGTCAGAAATAATTCATTTTATTACATTATCATCTTGTTTGAGACTTGTGGAGAAAACACACATATCAACAATGGATTTAATGATTTACAATCATAGAGCATTGGAGGCTTTTCAGACTGCACAACCAGTACTATAAATAAGAACGTCTATACGGCTGCAAGTCATTGTTTTGTATTCTTACTTAACAAAAACATACTCTTCTTTCCTCTCTCGCACACTATCACTAAACTAGTTTTCTCCCACTGTTACATGGCCTGCTCTAATTTATATCCTTCTTTACATCCACACACACACACTTTGTAGTTCTGTCCTGATAAACTCGCCTTAATCCCCACGGCAAAAAATAGTGGGTAACTCCTTGTCTTGCCAGCCTGTCAGCAGCTAACCAGACAGTGCACTTAGCTATTAATAGCCAGTGCTCTTTGTTTTGGGCCTTGTGCCCAGACGTCCGAGTCCCAGTAATTGGCTGATTTCCAGTTCTAGGACTGATACCTCCATAATGATGGTGATTTAATTAGAGAACACACATAGGCTGCTCACACATTGCCATTATAGCTCTGAACAACATTGCTGACACAATTTAGCTACTTCCTCCTCGATAAGCAACAAGAAGGAGAGAACAGTGGTAACATCTAAGGGTTGATATTGGACGAGGTTAACTACACTGAAAAACGTTGACTTGAAACTACTACTATTTTTTATTTTAACTTCATATGATTGCGTTCAACTAACCTACTTGTAAAATAGATATGGAACATTTGTTGACATAATACATTGAATTAAAGTCAACGTTTCAGTGTAAGGCAAGGAAACCTGAATTAATGTCTCCTGCCTGCTCAAATGTTTAGTTTGGATTGGATTTTAGAGCAATTTGTATTTGTATTCGGTGAGGGGTTCTTTAGCAAGGCACAGCTCAGGTTTTGACATTAGGTTTGTTGGACAACGCATCACTAAGGTGACACTAGTGAGTAGGTCCATGTGTGAGGATAAAAAGACTGGTTAAAGCCAAAGCAAATGCCTATTGTTGTCACAAGGTTACTTCTGAAAAGTGTTCTCTTGTCTGAAGACCCATGCCAGCAGTAAGTCTTTGGTATTTACTTGTCCATCCTCATGGTGTAGCCCTGGAATCCAACCTAGCATTTGACCTGACAGTAGTCTCACTCTCTCCTGTGTTGCCCGATATAAAATGATCAGCGTTGGGATTTGCGGGTTAAGGACGCTTAGAGCAGGGGTTTTAATCTCATGACGTCACATTCATTAGCGGACACTTTGATCCTTTCAGCCTCTTAGCCACACTCAGTCCTATTCTGTCTGTCGGTGGACACGGGATGTGTTAGTGACTCCCTCGGGGACCGTGGAGGACAATGCTGCTGATCCACCCAACCCTGTAGGCCAACGAAAAGCTTCCCCTGTCCATTTTTCCGTATCCCTGCAGGTGATGCTTTTGTGAAAATAGGAAGGGAATACAACACTACTCAATTTCAAAATGGCAGACAAAGATAGCGTGGAGAAATACCTGGAGAACAACCCACAGTTCGCCAAAGAATACTTTGACAAGAAGGTACGGGCTGAAGCTCTGACCGCCGCCTTTTCTGCACCTGTTGATGTCAAAGACACCGCTTCCTTCAAGGATATTAACTCTGTGCAAGAAGCCGCCATCATCTATGAGTTGGTCCAGCAAATGCAGACTCAGCTGCCCATGGAGGAGTCCATTCACAAAGTGTTACAAAGAATTGCACTGATCATACAGGCCGACAGGATCGGTTTTTATATTTGCCGGTCGAGAAACGGAATACCTGAGCTCGCCAGTTGCCTCTTTGACGTGACCCCAACCTCTAAATATGACGCAAACTTGGTCCATCCACAGGCTGAAATTGTTTTCCCTCTCGATATGGGTATCGTCGGTTTCACTGCACTCAGCAAAAAGCCACAAAATGTTCCTGACATCACAAAGGTGAGAATTCATTCATTTGCTATCTTGTGATAGAAAAAAGGTGTCAAGGGTGAAAGGTAACGAAGGTGGTGTGTGTGCTCTGCAAGGTTATTTTTTGTGTGAAACCGATGTTTTCTTATTACTGTGATATTATTTGCCTTAGAAATGTTTAATTGTATTAATTAGATTGTATTATATTATTATTTTTAAGTAATTTGCCTGAGTGTAGGCTTCACATGTAATTTTAGTTAAAAAATAAGTTTTAATGTGCACAGCAACAGATGTGTTCCATCATCAATAAGCTTGTTTTAATTCTCTGATAAAAGGAGAACATGTTTCATTGTGGTCTACCGGTATTGGTTCAAAGCCTTAAGTCTTCTACTGCCAAGTGTAGCCAAAAATAGAATATTGATTAGTGAATAAACAACAAATTGGAGTTTATATTTTCGAAGTAACATCACCGTTAGAAACATTGAGTCTGAATATTTAAATCCGACAGACTCTTAACGAAGTCCTTTTTTTCTCCTCATACAGAACCCCAAATTCTCTGACTTTGTGGACAAACAGACCGGATACAAGACTAAATGCACGCTTACTTTTCCTCTGATGGCTGAAAAAGAGTGCCTTGGAGTTGTCATGGCACTTAACAAAATAGGAGCGGACACATTCTCTCCAGAGGATGAGAAGGTAAGAATACACACCTAATCATGTCCATTGACTCTAATCCTTAGTGATTTACTGAGTGAGCTGAAACAGAGTGTTTTTCCCTCTCGTGTATTAATACATTGTAACTTTACACTTTACTTTACAGGAATGTTATGTTCATACATTTCTAGGTATATACTTTAAAAATATGGATTTAAAGGTGGGGTAGGTAATTTTGGAGAAACCAGCTCGAGTGTGCTAGAATTTGAAAATACACAACCGGAAAAAATCTGCCACTTCCTTACAGAGCCCCTCCTCCAACACACACGAACGCGCACATGACCAATGAGGGCACGAGATAAGTTTGTGCACAGATGGAAGGCTGACAGGCAGGTAGGCCATCCAGTTACTTTAGCCGGGCCGGCTAAAATGATTGGTCGTGCTTTTTACAGTACTACGGCTTCCACAGATGTTTTGTCAAAGCACTTAAGATATTCATTGCTATCGGGATGTTAAGAGCATTCCATGGAATATAACAAAAAGTGTAACTCGAGCCGGTTTCTCAAAAGTACCTACACCTTTAACTGGGAATATATTATCAGTCTATATCGAAGAACATTCACTACTGTGTCTCATAAACAGAGGCAATCAACTCAACCATTCCTTAAAGAAATGCATATGTTTTACTCTTGGGGCTGTAATGTTGATTCGCAGGAACATAAATAGAATATAACGACATCTGTTGGTCCTTGAACTGCTAAGATAGAGTTTATTATAATGTCTACATTCCTATGTTTTGGTTCATGATTCTCTTTACAAAAGTAAAGACGAGTAAATCACAAGTGTAATAGATTTTTTCAAGCCTCAAACACTTATATGTATTTTTGTTTAAATCCATGAACAAAACATGTAATCTTTGTACGAATGTACCAAATGGGGACTTTTACTCACGAGAATCACTTGTGTTTGGGTCATGGTTTACTGATCTGGGAAAGAGAAATCCCTCCGATATATTTACTCTTGAATAATCACAGCTTTGCTAATGGAAAAGAAGTCAGATGAGACTTTTGAGCTTTTAAAGTTCCCATCTGTCATAGTCTGAAAGTCTGCTGTTGTGTATTGATGAAACCTCTAATCTAATTTGGTCCTTAGCTCTTCCACAAGTACATGAACTTTGCCCAAGTCATCGCCCTGCAGCATCACACAAACTACATGTTCAATGTGGAGTCCAGAAGGAGTCAGGTAAACTAAACCCTGAGTATTCTGTAATTCATCTGTATTTATTTATAACGGTGCCCAAACTATATGCCACAGCTACACATTTAATTACACCTGCATCCATTGTGGTCGTTTCCCTTGTAGGTGCTGCTCTGGTCGGCCAGTAAAGTCTTTGAGGAGTTGACAGACATTGAGAGACAGTTCCACAAAGCGCTTTACACTGTAAGGATCTATCTGGGATGTGAAAGATACTCAGTGGGCCTGTTGGACATGACCAAAGAGAAGGTTGGTCTTGCAAAATATCTACAATTTTACACTTAAGATTAAATAGAAAACCATTTATTTTGACGGGCATCCATCATTTTTTATTGTCTGTGTTTTCCCCCTGTAGGAATTCTATGATGAATGGCCTGTGAAACTGGGGGATGTGGAACCCTATAAAGGACCAAAGACGCCAGACGGCAGGGTACTAACTTCATTTCCTCATGTAGAATTTGAATTCCCACTTGCTTCAAATGTTCTATTGTCTAACACAGTTTAGATACATCAATCATTTCTAACAGGCTTCTTATTGTTTTCCAGGAAATCATCTTTTACAAGATTATTGACTACCTCCTGGAAGGCGTCAAAGAAGAAATCAAAGTCATACCGTAAGCAGCAGAAGCTACAAATCCACTCAATCTAACACAATGCATTTCAAAATACAGCATGAAAAAAACTGGAGTCCAAACAATTGCATCTTTTAAAATAAAAGTCTTGACTTAGTTTTGAGTCTGATCTTAAACTCACATTTAAAGCATGTGCTAAGATGGTCCACCGACTATTCTTGGGGTTATTTGGGTATGGTTTCCGTAAAATGTGGGTCAAAACTGTTTATTTTGTATATCAGAACATAACTTTCTCACTCAACTCTCTGTGTTTCTCTCTCTTTTTCAGTGGCCCGCCTATAGATCACTGGGCTCTTGTTAGCGGCCTGCCAACCTACGTTGCAGAGAATGGCTTTGTAAGTCTCACTGTTGCCGCAGGGCAGTTCTGTACGAGGATCACTGGAATTAGAGAAGCATACAAAATAAAGGGCAGCTGACTTGTAGAATATGAACAGACACGTATCCACATCCACACAAACAGAATAATGTAGAGAAATAAAAGGCGCAGGAATACAGGTTGTGTGATATGTCACTGAAAAGACCCTTATCAGCAGTGATACTCACATGAAGTGACTAGGCAGGATTTGTGTCAGTGTAAACCAATGAATACACTTTTCATTTTCATTTATTGAATCCTAATTCGCAGCTAGACATTGTACTTTTTTTAAAAATCTGAACATATTGCAACAAAATATGCAATAAAGTTAAAACAGGTGTAATATGTGATAAATGTAGGGTTTTTTGTGTTGCTTTGTGACAACTAAAAGTAAGAAAAGGTTGTTGCAAAGATTGATAAGAAATAGCAGCTTTGAATAATATTTGCAAAGCGCCGGATCTTAACGTTTTTAATGTGTTTTCATGCAGATTTGCAACATGATGAACGTGGCTGCAGATGATTTCTTCACTTTCCAGGTGAGGACACTTTTACCCTGCATCCAAACACTGATGGTGCCCTTGAGCAAGGCACCGGACAACCCCCCACCCCTCCACTCCCATTGCTCCCCGGGCGCTGTACAATAGCTACCCACTGCTCCTGGTACTAGGATGGGTTAAATGCAGAGGCCACATGTCACTGTGTGTGCTGTGTGCTCTGCATGTGTGACCACTAAAGAGGGTTTCATCCCTCCGATTCTATCAAAACACACCAGTATAGGATTCCATATAATGTTAAATATGCACTTTTTATATCATACTGTTTAGATATCCGTGTTCAAGAAGAATTGAGACTTGCTTTAAAACTTGATGCATGGTTTTAACATCGTGTTTTGCAATGTCTTGCAGAAAGAGGCTGTGGATGAATCAGGTTTTATTATCAAAAACTGTCTGTCGCTGCCCATTGTCAACAAGAAGGAAGAAATTGTGGGCATCGCCACTTTCTTCAACAGGAAAGACGGCAAGCCATTTGATGAACACGATGAGCAGATCACTGAGGTCAGCTCCACATACTCTCTCTCGCTTTTTATTCTCATTATTTCCTGTCATTTGGGATCTCATTGTTGTCTGTCAATGAACAAAATGTCCCTGAAAGCAGTAACTTCATAACACTCTGAGATGTGTTGGAGTTTTCTGGAGTGTCCCAGGAGCGAAGGAAAAGTACAGATGTGTTTATTTTTTCTCATTCCTTCTCACTCTGGTTGTTTTTGCCAGGCCCTGACTCAGTTCTTGGGTTGGTCCGTGCTGGTTTGCGACACCTATGACAGGCTGAACCGTATGGAGTGGAGGAAGGAAATCGCCCAGGAGATGCTGTTGTACCAGACCAAATGCACCTCAGCTGAGATGCAGTCCATCCTGGTCAGTTTCCACATTTCCTCTCCAGAAACGTACCTTTTGATCTCTCAGCATTTGATCAAGAGGCCACTCGAGCAGGGATTAACAGCAGTCAAAGGTTAATGCTCCCTGAATAGCTTTTAGTTCAGCAGTCTTCCAATAGAAGCGATTAAAGGGCTAAGAACATGTCTAGTGGAAACGATTGCTTTGAGTTCTTGGAATAACATGATGGTTTTAGTTTTGTGTCTACAAATGATGCTGTGAATGTCTGTAGGTGATGGCAGCACATTCATAAATTCGATGTAAGCCATAATAATGTGCTGATCTCTCTTTTCTAACCAGAACACCAATGAGAAGTTTGACGCAGAGCCCGAAGACCTCGACCAGAAAGAGATGTACAAACTGTTGGTATGTGTTTACTTTGCTAACCTTCAGGACAAATACTTTCAATGAGATGAAAAAACGGTGTCACAAAAGATTATTACTTTACACCTATCAAAGCACACATGTATGAATAGGTTTAAAAACGTGTATACGCGCAGACTTCATTAAATATCAACATTTTAATGGATTTGGGAGTATTCTTTTCTTGAAAGGGGAATATGCATGCGAGCGTTGAATGACTAATGGCTGTATTCTAAGTGAAATCTGTTGTTGTTTTTCTTCAGAGAGCAAACTGCCCGCCAGCTGACAATGTCACCGGAGAGAACCTGTACCTGTTCTCCTTCAGTGACCTCCCCGTCTCCGAGATCGACCTCATCAGAGCCGGCATTCGCATGTTCTTTGAGCTCGGAGTTGTGGAAAAGTTTAAAGTTCCTGCAGAGGTGAGTGCATGAAGTTAGACACTAACTTTGATGTGTTGCTCCTTCTGGCGGTCCCTTAGTAGCTGGAGAATATCCCTTTGTTCTGCTAATACTGCTACACTCATAGCAGGCTTGGATTTCAATAGTATGTATTTTACACACATATAAAACTTGATTACATTTCATTATGTTAAAGAAACAATATTATCCATGTTCATCATTTGGTGTGAAAGATAATCTGCCCTGGGATTACTCTGCAAGGAGATGCTCTGTCCTGGCGATAGCTCATCTAAAAACCCTCACAAACGATCAACTTTGCTTCACTCCCACTCTCCTACTCAGACACTGACTAAATGGATGTACACGGTGAGGAAGGGTTACCGTTCCATCACCTACCACAACTGGAGGCACGGCTTCAACGTGGGCCACACCATGTTCTGCCTGCTGCAGGTAACGCCTCCAAAACATCTGCTGCATCTGAAGCAAACCCTAACCCCAACAAATGTCTTACATTTCTCCATTTCACATCTGTATTCGATGCTATAGACTTTGACACTACAGCTCACTGCACACTATTTTCACACAGGCTGCTATGTTTTACAAGAATGTGTATATAGGCTCATAATATGTTTTATCCATCGTTGAGTTAACTGAGAAACGCACCAATACAGGTTTAATATGTAATAGTTTTTAAAGGGATATTAAATCATCAGTATGTACAGGGTCTAAAACACCATATCAAATAAGATGTGAGAATTGAGAAATGCTGTTTTCATCTTGTTCTGGACACATAATCCATTTAATTGGAGGGCACAGTCTGTAACATCTGCACATTATAATCCATGATTCGTCTGCTCTGCCTACAGACAGGGAAGCTGAGGAAGTACTACTCTGATCTAGATGCCTTCGCCATGGTGGCTGCTGCTTTCTGCCACGATATCGACCACAGAGGGACCAACAACCTCTACCAGACAAAGCAAGTCAAAAAAGTGTATTGTGTGTGTGTAGAAAGTGCTTGCATGTGTGTGTAACCTGTGTGTAAATATATGTTTTTCTTTCTTCTGCAGGAGTCAACATCCTCTGGCTAAACTTCATGGCTCCTCCATCATGGAGAGGCACCATTTGGAGTACAGCAAGACGCTCATGGCTGATGAAGTATGACACATTTTTGACAGTAAATATAATCAGACTTCAATGCAAGAAGTGGGACACATTTTGACCACTTTTACTGTCTGTTGCAGACCCTGAACATCTTCTGCAACCTCCAGAAGCGTCAGTTTGAGAACGTGCAGCACTTGTTTGACGTCTGCATCATCGCCACTGATCTGGCCCTTTACTTCAAGTACGTTCTCGTAAATACTCCCCATGCTAGAGCCTTAAAATGGCCGATTACAGCTGAGAGTTAAAGCTGACGCCATCAATGTTTGTCTGTACACCTCTGTTTTTTTCTTTTGACTGACTCATTTTACGCGACCAGTTTGTGTATTTATTCAGTTCAGTTGGTCTGACTAACACTCTGCTATCTCGTCACGCAGAAAGAGAACCATGTTCCAAAACATTGTGAATGCCACAGAGCCAATGCCAGACGAAAAGGAGGCCATTAACTATATTTCCAACAATCCCACCAGGAAGGAAATCATAATGTATGTAACTGATTCCACTGTGTTTGTGAACAGATTTCTGAAACCCTTGCATGACCTAGGGGTTCATGTTGTTCTCCCTGACTGACTCTCTCTCTCACCTCCAGGGCCATGATGATGACAGGCTGTGACTTGTCAGCTATCTGCAAACCCTGGGAGGTACAGAGCAAGGTGGGTGGCTTTCACATTAGCAGTTTAGAAAGTGTATAGTGAGGTTTGTTCAGCTAGGACAAACCTATTGAGTTCCACGCATCACATTATTTTAATATTCCACCTGTCCTCAATCTTTTATCAGGTTATTCAGCACCTGTATTTCATCCAAAACATATACTAAAGGGTATTTTCTTTTTGAAATAGGAGAGCTAAAAGCCATGACAACAGAAACAAACCGGGTTTATAGGACACTTATGTGACAGAGTTTGTTTTTCCTTTGATATCAAACTGTTAAAAAAATTGCGGGAAGTGACATGTTTCTGCTGATCCACAATGATTTCCTCTGAATCATTATTTCTTCCTCTTGTGTGTCTCTCTGCAGGTGGCCCTGATGGTCGCTGCTGAATTCTGGGAACAGGGAGATTTGGAGAGAAGTGTTTTGGACCAACAGCCAATTGTAAGGGTCACACCGCTCTTGTGCCTCCGCCACCTTTCACATATTTTCTTTTTCAGGGTAATTTGTAAACCTGAAACTCTTCCCTCTGTCTCTCTCAGCCCATGATGGACAGAAACTGTTCTGAACAGCTAGGCAAGATGCAGTGCGGTTTCATCGACTTTGTGTGCTCCTTTGTGTACAAGGTAATAATCAGCTTTTGTGGAAACATTAGAAGTATGATTATTATAAACATTGAAGGGGAGGTCAAAGCGTGAAATATGCCAGACATGGATCTAGCAAAAAGGGAGTCTGGCCTGTGTTATGTGTAACTGTTAGAATGTTAACACAGCCACAGTCTAAAGGGGTGTAACCATTTAATCCAGCTTTTATTTGGTTTTGATTCCCAGCAAAGCACCATTAAAAAAACATATTCTACCCATGAGTTGTTTTGATTTAGTTCACTATAATCGATTTTTGATACTTTCAAAGAGCTTCACAAAAGCTTCAAAAGTAACTAAACTCATGTATCAACCTTACTCTGAGGCCCTAGTTTAAAGTGTAACTTGTATTTTCAAGGCAATATCATGTATTTTTTAAGCGTACCTCCAACTGATAAATAATATTGTGTAAAGCCTGCTGGGTATGGTAAATCTTTGATAAGACTGTCAGAAAGGTGTAGCTCCGAGTCAATAGTGCATTTTACATGCGAGATCACAATGCAGCATGTAGTCTTGATTTAAGGGTGTTGGGTTGAACAACATGATGTATATAGATGAACCTGTTGAAACCAGCTGGCCCCCAGAGGAATGTCTACTAGCTGTTTTTCAGTCTGTCAGTATGGTATTTGGACAAGAACACACACATCCATAAAGAAAATGTGTCAGTGGATCATGCGGACTCCTTGTCTAAGAGGAATATCATGTATTTAGAACACCAACATTTTCCTTCCTGTAAGCTCTCCTGCCTCTGCGCATCCCACAATGTGAATAACAGATACCCTACATCCCTTTTTCTTTTATTTATCAGGAGTTCTCCAGGTTCCACAAAGAGATCACGCCCATGTTTGACGGTCTGAAAAACAACAGGTGCGAATGGAACAAGCATGCCGAGATATACAACGCGAAGATGAAGGCCATCGAGGATGAGAAGAAGAAACTGGAAGATGATGAGAACAAAAAAGGTATGGAAAAAAACAAAACAATCTATACTGGTCCTGATCCAAGTCTTCACAATCACCCTGTATAAACACATTCTTTATTTCTGTGTGTTTATCTAGCTGGTGGCGACGGGAAGTCAAAGACCTGCACCATCTGCTAAATTCCTCCAGTGCTTGGATCTGGACTCATGCGATCTGTTTAGAATTAATCTAGGCTACGCTAGCCTATTCTGATCCGACAGCTAGTGTAGTTGGGGCTTGGCTTGGCCAGTTTGGTCTGGTCTGATCTACTGCAGCGTAGTTCTCTCAGGTTAGGTGCTCTCCGCTCTGCTGCAGGCCAGTTCAGCCCTGTTTGCATCTGGTCTGGTTCAGTCTAGCCTATATTTAGTCTAGTGTATTCAGGTCTGGTCTGTGGTCCAGTCTGCAGTCAGCCTATCTATTCTCCGAGGAGCAACACCATGAAGTAACGTTTTGGACTCTGACCGCAAGAGAAGCTTGTTTTACCCGGAAGTTGCGATGCGTTTGAAACTTCCTCCTTAGTCCGCTTCCTCCAACACACAGCCATGAACTTTTGAAAAAGATATACATGGACAACATATATTTCCCTTTATCATAGCAATAATCAAAGCATTTCCGATGTAATTGGAAAACCTGGTTTGATAAGCTCAGAAACTAGCAATAGCTAAAGCAATAGTATTTACAGTGTTCCTATTGGCGGTCAGTTACCACACAGTATAGTAGTACTGTAGGTTGCACACTGCACTTAGCTGCTGCTGTTTTGGCAGCGGCAGGCCATGAGTGTGTGGAGAAATTGGGCTAAAAATCTGTTTTGGGTTACCAGTTAGAGTAGCCTGAGTCCTGAAGGATCTGTTAATGGTGTAAAACAGTCCTTTGTAGCTTTGATACAGCGAGTGAAAACATGCAATCATAAAGGGCTGATGTTCTTTTACCTCAAAAGGCGCTGAAGAGTTGTGAGGCTACATTTATGTTAATATGCAATCTATTTATCTATATATACATATATTTTTTTTGGATTCTTTGTCTGACAATTTTGTACTTAAACTGTCTTCACGGAGAGAAGAGGATGAGACAAGCTTTGAGATAGGGCGTTCTGAATCTGTGAACAACTGCTCGCTGAAAACACAATCGACAATGTTTTGAATTTGTGTAACTTTATCGTAAACACCCGTAAGCTGTTATGCCCAATGACTTGGTAAAATAACTTTAAAAAAAAGCTAATGTGAATACTATTTATACCAGTGTTTAGAACTAAATTACAATTCCTTATCGATTCAAAAACGTCTTTTAAACTTGATTTCACATGTATATAGTTTAGAAATTGTAAAATGTAAATTGTGTAAACTTAAGAATAACTGAAGTGAAAACCTGATTTGAAAGATGTACAGTAAAGGCGACCTTTTCTTCTTCTTCTAAGGAGGTAATAGTCGCAGTCAGTCAAACAGGGTAGAGTGGATCTACCTGTCTTGTAAGAAGATTGGATAGGATTTGATTTGATTGTCGGCCAGCGTTTGAGATCCACACAGCTTTAGACTTTAAATACCCTTCTTACTGAGGAGGCATAGCAGGCTACCAAAGCCTTGTATGTATCTGAAGAAAACTTGAGTTTAAAACGTGACAGATGAAGCTATAGCATCATTGATTGTAACGTGGTACAGGCCAAAGTCCTCTGATAATTTCTTCACTGATGCAACAGTGTGACAAATCACACAACAACCACTAGGTCAGTGTTAATCTTCATTTATACCTGCATTTGACCCTGATCTGGTTAGGCATCTGAGTCGACAGTGCACCTCCTGACACACTTTTAGCAATGGCTAAAGGCAAGCCGTGGCTCTCAACTTGCTGTTACACAATGTCATCTTCTGTAATGAACAGGTCATCAATCAAAGGCACTTAATCCTATCAGAATGGCTTTGAGACTGGCCGGAAACTATTTTTGAGGGGTAGTGAGGAGCTTGCGCGGTCACTGGAGCCAGAACTGTGGAATGAACATTTACAGAAAGTTATACGTTAAACATTATAACCATTATTTTACCTCATTGTTCCTGCTGCACACGTTTTCTATCAATGGTTACACCACAGGTTCTGTCTCCAGTGAGAACAAATGGCACCTCGCTTTTCCTTCAAGGATCTTTTGTGAGATATCACACGGTATACTTATCCCATCAACTGTCTTTCAGACCTTAGAAATCTTATAATTTGACATATGAGATGACCTCTACTGTATGTATGTGTCAAGAGATGTTATATGTGTAAGCAAATAAAGGAATTTATGGAAGCTTAACAGAGGAAATAACTTATTGTCAACGTAAAAACGTTCCTATTAACACTAAAAGTGGGTTAGATTGGAGAATGAACTTGAGAAACCTTGAGTTTAGCTCCTCCAGTGCTGGTTCTTAGTAATATATCGTGCAGGGATCTTAGAGGCTCCAAAGCTGGATGAGCCTCTGGGGAAAGAGGATCAGTGGATTGGTTCTGATCCCTGCTCGATACAGTGTTGTCTGACTGTTCAACATCCTGCCGTATGCACATTCTGCATGCAGAAAACTGGACATGGTGTTAATTGTGGGGGGAAAACTTCTGTGTAGCAATGCAGTGGGAGTCACCGACTCAGGAAGGAGACACGGGGAGAGCTGGAGCTTAGATGTCAAACACTGATGGGTTTATTTGGAGCTTTGGCTGGAGAATTCACAAAACAAGTCCAAGAGTCAGAGGTTCTGACATCACGGTCCAGTTGCCATGTCAATTCTGAAGAACTCTACCCCAGACCCATGTATTTAGCTAGTTCAGAGAGAATCATCAACACTGTGCATAACAAGATAGAATCATAACACCTCCATCAGCTGACGCCAACAGGGAGACAGAACACTGAGAGCACAGCAGCCAAGGTTACAGGTGCGTGTGCTCAGTCAGGACAGTTTGAACTGATAAACTGGGTCAAAGTTATGGGCCTTGGAAAATATTTCCCCAACAGTTCTTCTCTTTTTATCAATTTTGATAATCTAAACCCTTAGTCTAATAATATTTTTGTTCAATACTTAAATCAATGGGAATCTTCAGATTTGAGTGTGGACTTACACAACATCAATTGCATCAATAACAATCACATTAAGAACAACATGATAAGATTGAAACATTCAATCACAATGATTGAGACAGCCAATCATAATAGAAAAATCATCTCTCATCAGTTTTTGGATTATCTTTTGTCAAAAGCATAATAATGAACACATAAAACACAGGTGCAAAATATTTGTTTTAAACTAATATCTTTTATCATTTAACCATTAGTTAAACAAACTATAAAATCAAAACCAGCAATCAGGCTTAACAACACAACTCTTTAATGTGTTATTCATACACATTAATTTCAGTTTTGGCCCAAAACTAATATTTATAATATTTCTTATAACAATGATGTAGCATATTTGATCCTCAAATTAGAGAAGTATAATTTAAAGAACATTAATGTCATTATTTTTGACAAGTATACAGTTGTTTAGAAGATACACTTCACCCTCGGGAGGAGAAGATGAAGAGCACCAATGCTGCAGTAATGCACTCCAGTTAGAAGGTAGTTTGAGTGCAGGATGCTGCTGAGGCGTCTGCTGACTAGATGGAACATTTGACACAGGAACACACTGTAATTTATCATCACGTAGAGCACTTCAGCGTGTCAACCCTCTGCATCAACATGACCTTTGATTCCCCGGACAATTTACGGGTCAGTGGGTGCAGAGCTGTCCCCATCTGTAATTTGCTCTTCTCTTCATAAGGACCGCTTCTGAAGAGAAGAGCAATTTAAGGCATATTCCTTACATTCTGGATTATTAATGATGGAGAAAGAGTAGAGGACATTTGAACAAATTGAATTTTTCTTTTCTTTTAACCATATAAACCATATTTTTTACGGTGAATATTTGTATACGTTTTTAAACGTGGAATGAGGTCGAGCTTGTCATATTTAAATGTTGTTTTAAATCCCCCTGACGACATAAAGGCAGTAAATGTGTTCCCATGTGAAGGCAAGAATCTTTAACCAAGAAAAACAGAATGTTGACAACTCAATTGATCAACTGTAAATGCATCCAGGTGCACAAGTATAGCCAGGGGCCAAATTATATCCCACAGCCACTCAAACACAACATGCTGTTATTACTCAATGTACCATTTACTATACTTAACCATATGTTGCCTGAACACTGCCATGAATCACAGAGTAAATGGCTTCTCCTGAGAAAGCAGAGAAGTTTAAACGAGGCAGACAGAGCGGTAAGAGGTAACTTAATTGTCTTTATTTAAGCCAAACTCTATAATCTCCCGGCAACCTCACACAGTTTTATTGTCTGTTAGTTGAGGTCGAGGCAGCACTTAAATCTGCCCTTGGACAGAGGGACATCTCCAACTAATCCAACAGAGAGCTGGACCAAAGAGCACAACTCTGGAGAAAGTACCAAACCTATACACTCCATTGTTGAGTGGTGGTAATAAAACTGTTTAAGTATAGAGTGGCAAAGTCCCTCCCCTTCCGGGGGAGCGGAACCTTATTTCGGAAAAATGATGTATTGAAGTCAATGGAGAGAGAAAGATTATCTTTTGATCCCGTTTGAATTGAGCCACGAATTACACATATGTTTGTCAATTTAAAAGATAATTTTGCAAGTGAAAAAAATAAAAATGTGTCGTAAAACTGTGAAGTAACACATTTTTTTGTGTGAAACGCACAATGAACTACCTCTCTGGTCCAAGCCCCCAGGAAGTGCGCCGGACTCAGATGAAAATATTCGTGCTGGCCAAACAGCGGTACTACACTTCCGTTTGGTTGCCAGGCCCGGAAACACCTTTTCCCATTGACTTACATGGGGAAAGAGTGGTCTGTAACTCGTTGGATAATTTTTTTTAAACTAAATAAACTACCCAGTATGAACACTTGTATAGCCCTTATTAAAAACATTCGTTCCTCAAGTTGTAATAATGTGCTAATAACGTTATTCTGAGAGTTATTTCCCTCTGCATTATGAACGCGCATCTAGCCCACGGGACCGCGCCGCCCGGCACGTTCATGTTACGTGTCCCGACCAATCAGAGCACACTGTGCTCACAGGGAGGGTGGGGGCTGAAGCTATTGGAGCTACAACGAGCCGTTAAAGGCAGAGTGAAATTCAGTGAATACACGTAGTTTACAGAGATGCTGTTTGAGAAACCAATGTGAGTTGCGTTTATCTTTACCCATGGATGCACAATAAGAACGGACCCATATCGTCTTACTGCCATCCCACGGAGCTGTAATAATGGATATATTGCACATGTTTGCTGTAATTCATTATCATACTACATGGGCTGTATGATTCAATCTTGTACCGTAAATGTTGTATTAAATAAAGTTAATATTACCGACATTATTAACGTCCCTGTAGCTTCGTATTGCACTAAGAAGCTTATTGCACTGTATATAAATATATATATATATACAGTGCAATAATTATTTCATGCTAAATGAAGCTCTGTTGGATATCACTAGATCCTGTTACAGCGTATTATAAGTACATAACGATTGATGTGTACATTAGCATCATTACTAGCTAGCCGCTAGCTGCTAACTGCCGCTGTCAGTACCAGATATGTTCGGGCTACCAGATATGTTCGGGTGTATTTCCGTCATCCGTCATATACTCACCTCCCTCTGCTCCCAGCGCTATGCTGCCACACACCGGCCGTCTGCGGAACTGCAGCCGGAGGAACTTGGGATAGCTTGTTATGTGTGGGGTGCTATGGTGGGGTCCCATGTACTTGTGCACATAAATAATGTTTCTAATTATTTACAATTTAAAAAATATATATATTCTGCGTTACTTTAGCCAACACTTTTATAAGGCCACTAGATTAGATAATTACGAAATGTGTAGATAGAATACATATATTTCAGGTTGTTATTTTGTCATTATGTTTAATGTTTTATTTACCTTTTAGTATTTTTATATAGTATCTGAACTTTGGAGAGGAGTTGGGAGACACACGACACATCAAATCACATCTACAGATCAAGGCGAAGCGAATGGAAGTACTCCCATACTCCTAGCGTGAAAATGTTTGTGAAAACGTGTGCAAAGTCTCCGAAAATCCTAAAAATAAGCTCATATTTGAATTCCCCATAAAAAAACACATCATTCAGTAAAAACAAGGCCCCACTGATCATCTACTCTCCGAGACGATTCCAGGGATGTCTGGCTTGAGTTTCGACCACCAGGGAAAGTGGACAAAAGTGCCCGAGATCAGCCTCTTAAATTTACCCAGGGCCTAGTGCTTGGGCATGAAAATTCAGGAAACTCCCCTGAGTATTTTATTAAATATCTGAACTTTGGAGAGGAGTTGGGGGACACACGACACATCAAATCACATCTACAGATCAATACGAAGCTAGTGGAAGTACTCCTAGCGTGTGAACATGTTTGTGAAAAACGTGTGCAAAGTCTCCGAAAACGGAGCAGTGGCTGTGATGCTAGCTTTGCGGCTAGCGGTTAGTTGTTATTGTTTGAAGTTGTTGCTATGGAAACAACATGACGGAGAAAAAATTAATATCTTGTACATATAATAACGGACAAAGTAAAGAATGAAGTATAGGCTATGCCTGTTTGAAGTTGTTGCTAAGGAAACATCATGACGGAGAAAAAGTATAATCTTCTACATATAATAACGGACAAAGTAAAGAATGAAGTGTCGGCTATGTTTAAATGTTCGGAATTTGACCGTGATGGCCCTCTTGAGTTGCCGTAAAATATGACGAATATGACGGATGCGACGGAAATACACCCGAACATATCTGGTACTGATGTCACTGTCACCGCCTCGTTCATATCAAATCCATGATAACAACAATCCATTACCATGCTGTCATGAACGCGCGGTGCTGTTACGTGTACGCAAATTGACGTGCTTGATGTGAACGAGCATTTTGGTTAAAGTTGCGCATGCTCTATGAGCGCACATACGGGTACTTCTCAGGCATGCTGGGTAATCTGTGACGTTTCACTCTCTCAAAAGGTGGGCCATTTTATCATCATGCGCTAATGAGCAGCTCTCATAGGAATGAATGAGGCCCCGCCTCCCACGCTGTATCCAGTTCTTATTATACATCCATGCTCTGGTCTCGCAGACAAGCACAACAACATACGTCACCAAGATGGCCGTCACTACTGTCTTGTCAAAAAAAGGGATTCTTCCCTCACTATCAACACGTCCAGA